GGCCAAGGGCCAAGCCTTCAACAAGCGGCTATTATTTGGCCTGCAAAAAATTCAGATCCAAAGCCTCTGGCTCCTGCTTTACATACTGACACCACTGCCTCCTTGAGAGATACGTTACCTTGTGAGGGGCCGGGGCAGACTTTAGGAAAGGAGAGACATTATGAAACCTGGCATTAAAAAATATCCTGGTTGCTTTTCTAATTTTAATTTTTGGAGGCAATGTTGTCATTGCAGTGGGAAATTGCAGGCTCTGAATTAGAATACTGTCCACAAAAGTGTTGTCATCTGTCACTTTTTCTTCTTAAGTTAAAATCATATATAGTGATGGGGATAGGTTGATGTTAACTATTAAATTTATAAACTAGACACTAATGGTAGTTTCTCAATTAACTTCATAAATTGTCTTTTTGTAAGTGAGGAATTTGAACTCAATAGCATTCAATGCCAATTTTTTTGGTAATTTTGAAGTGTTTAGCTCTTCCCAAGTACCATACAAGCTATTATGAATTGCATGTGATAATAAGGCCTCTATAGTCATTCGGTGCAAAGCATTACTCAAGTGATTTTTAAAAAATCTTAATTAATGATACAGAGGCTGTATCAACCCCCCTTTTGGATTTGCTTAAAGTTGGTTCCCAGAGCAGAAACAGAGCTGGTTAGAGTAATTTTAGGACACTTGAGAGGACAAGATACACTTTTGAGTGAATTCTTGTATCTTATACTCTTCACACCTGTAAAATATGGAGTTATTATTAGCTCATTCTACAGTTTATTAACGTAGGCTCAGCAAGGACACCTTCCAAAGTCATTTTCAGAATGAATGCTCACGTCTTTTGACAGATGGATGTCTTTCCCACCACAGGCTGTACACCTGAGGAGCATCCATGTTGGAACAAACAGAGTGATGATTGTAGAGACCCCTGAGGAATGATCTGGTAAAGGGCTGTGGTATGACCTTTCTGTAGTCTCAATTCTTAGTCATCAGGCTAAACTCTGGAAACTTCATCTTTCCATTTGGGAAAATTGATCTGGCACTATTTGATCCCTACCTTGAAGGGGCGCTCAAGAAAAACATGAAATATTTATGAAGTGCTTTGTTTCATGGGAAGCAACGTTCCAGGCTACAAAGCATGGGTATGCTTCTGGGTGCCAGAGTTGGAAATGTATTTCCGCTTACCCTTCGACTCCTGCAAGGTTGCACATTTCACTCCTGACTGTCAGTGCATACAAATCTAAGAATATCATACATATGTGTGCCACCTTTTGTGAGCCACATTTGTTCCTAAGGGTGGCATAATGGATTACTAAAATGTCCAAGAAGGGAAATTAAGGAGTGAGGGTGAGAAGAGAAGGTGGTAGCCAGGACACAAGAAGTGGAGGAAGGGAGGTGAGCGAAAGCTGACGATTCCCGGGGAGCCCAAGCTGTTAACCTGCTGGGTGTGGACATCCTCTGCCATTCACCCTGCAAGGTGAAACACGGACTTGCTGGCCAGCCTTTGTGGAGGAACTTTGCCAAGGTCTGCTGTGGCTAGGCCTTCTCGGTGACAAGAGATGGTGGGGTGCAGAGCTGTTCATCTGGCATCCTTCACTGTCACTAAGGTTCCTGATAAAATATTAAGCTGATCCTATATACATGATGGGGAACAGAGGGAAGCCAGGGGAAGGGGCCGTGATCAGGTACACAGAGGAGAGGAGCAAAGCCTCTGGGAAGGCACCCCCAGGAAGACTCGTAGTAGCCTCCCTGCCCCAGTGAAGCAGCAGCCAGCTTGGGTTTACTTTCACCTCCAAGTCTTTTCCTCTGTGTGTTCACACCATCCCCTCTTATTTCTCAGGACATGACGCAAAGTAACAGGCTTCACGATGCCATCAATGTCCATTTGGACAGCATTCATGTCACAATACACAAGCATGTACTGCCATTATACAAAATCCAATGAACAAAATGTTACTTGTTACACGGGTTAAAATGAAACCGACAACCAAAAAGGAAACAAAAAGAAATCTCTGTGGTAATCCACAGAGACGCTGTGACAATATTACAAAAGAAAATGTAGCCGAAGAATTGTTCTAGCATGCTGCAGTTCATTGCCATATAACTTCATAAATTCCCAGCTCGTTGTGGGAAAGAAAGTGCGTTTTCACAGCCTGTAATTTGCAAAGAAATAGCTCTCACATATGTGCAGGTCAACAGAAAAAGGAAATGCAAAGTCTAGGCACCAAGATTGCTCAGACAGCAACGGAGTTTAGAGTCAAACGTGAAACTCTTTTGAACCAGATCTGGTTTCTTGAGAAAGAACATGGAAAGTGACATTAGTCCAAAAGGGCCAAGGAAGAAACATCCAACTGTTAATAAGGAAGAAAACCATGAAGAACTAGGACAATTAGGATGATTTTTTTCTATTCTACTTTGAAGCTGAATTACAGCTTTTTGTATTTGGAATAAGAAAAGACAACACGGTTGGCCTTGGGGTTGAACCCCTGTCTTCCCCATCCACCCTCCCCACTCCTGATCCAATAATGTGCGAGTACAGATAGTGCTGGTTCAATTGAAGTAGAATGACCCTTTCTTCACATGTGGTCATGCCTCTTTTTAATAATGAGGTATAATCTGATGCTAACAATGCCTGTTCCTTTCTGGACTATGGAGTTAATCAATAGTGTGGGCAGAAGACAATTCAACTTTCTGATAAAATCACACACACATACAAAAATTATTGCACTTAAAAAACTAAAAACAACAAAAACAACATCAACAACAAAAAAAACTCAGCCCAATCAGCCAAGGGCTAACAACTCTTCAGAAGTTCTCTACTTCCTGCCCTTGGCAGAGCGTCTTGACCTTTCTGGTGTTCTGTTGAATTTGGTCCATTATGAAATGTCCCGAAGTAAAAGAGTCCAAAAGACACTGTAGGCTCTTTAAGGCTAAGTCTTCCCAGTGCTTCTATGAGATAAATTATCTCCTTGGCCACATACTACAAAGGAAGGGCCAGTCTACAAAAGGACTAGCAGAGCCCCCTCCCCAAACATCTGGAAGCAAGGGAGGATGAGGGCACGTCCTTGTCCTCTCCTGTGAAGGAGAAAGAAAGACAGTCAGCAGCCTGGGACATCAGCACCTCTCCCTGCCCTACCATGATCCTCAGTACACTCAGGCCCTCAGTCCTTGTGAATGTGGTTTATGGGTGCATCATTCTCTGTGTGACTCCTCTTTCCCATGGGTCTGAATGTCTATTCCTTCTCTCTAAATTTGTCTCTCTCTGTCTTTCCTTGTTCTTTGTTCTTCCTTCCCCATCGTACTTGCCATCTCTCTTTCTTGATGAATGCAGAGGTGCAATGCTAATCCCCTCCTGCTCCCACTGGTCCAGAGGCTTCCCAGATGTCCATGTTTCTCCCACAATGCACTGCTGCCCTCTGCCTACCTTATTGGTGTCTTTCGACACTCTACTCTGAGCTGAGTAAGTTCATTAATTACACAGCCAAGATGACTTACATAGCCAAAATCGAATCTCCTAGTCAAAATTTGAACACACGGCATTGATTATATCACTGATTATATCACAATGTTTTCCTAAAGCTCTCAAGTTAGAACTCACATAATGGGTGAGATCAAGCGTTTTCAGACTCTGCAATCCTTAAGACTCTAATATCAATATTGTTTTTCTTTCCTGAGTCTTTCTACTCTACCTTGTATCTTCTTTGTAACCCCCTGTTTGTTTACAGAAAATATCTTGGTACCTAGACTTGGGTGGTAGTACTCTGACATTGCAGGCACAGATCTAATATCAAAGTAATTTAAGGTTCTGGGTGGAGGGAATAGAGCTCAAATCACCATGAGTTGCAGAAGCTTCCAGTGGTTGCTACCACCAACCAAGGTGCACTGAAGTTCAAAGATCTGTTAGGGTATTTGTTTATCCCTATCATCACCCCGTGGGGCTGGGAGATGGGCAGAAATACT